GAAGATCTGTCCGGGGAGAAAAGTCTCACCTTGGACCGTATCGTTGTTGATGATCAAAGGAGCCATCGGGCCTAAAGGCGACGACACAGAGGAACTCTCAATAAAAGCACCAATGTCGGTGTCAAAACCGGCGGATCTCGGGTAGGGGGTCCCGAACTGTGCGTCAAGGCCGGATGGTAACAGGAGACAAGGGATACGATGTTTTTTACCCAGGTTCGGGCCCTCTCGATGGAGGTAATACCCTAGTCCTGCTTCATTAATATTGATGATATGGGTAGTACAAGAGTAGATCTACCACGAGATCAAGGAGGCTAAACCCTAGAAGCTAGCCTATGGTATGATTGTTGTGTATGGAGTTGATTGCCTATGGACTACAACCCTCCGGTTTATATAGACACCGGATAGGGTTAGGGTTACATAAGGTCAGTTACAATGGTGGGAGATCTTGAATATCCGCATCGCCAAGCTTGCCTTCCACGCCAAGGAAAGTCCCATCCGGACACGGGACGAAGTCTTCAATCTTGCATCTTCATAGTCCAGGAGTCCGGCTGAAGGTATAGTCCGGCTACCCGAACACCCCCTAATCCAGGACTCCCTCACCCCTCCAACACTATAAACATGGAACCTTCCCCTCCGGATCATCTGTCCGATAACTGTCTGAAGCCGGGGAAATATCCACAGATATTTTCCCGCTTCGTCTGTAATGCATAGCACTGTGTTAGGTCATCCCTAGCACATCATAATGCCATGGCATGCATCACGATGCATTTGTTTGCTCTATACTTATTGTTTCTTCCCCCTCTTCTCTCTGGTAGACCCTGAGACCGACGCTGCTCCTGGGTACGACTACACACCTGACGACTAGTCCCTTTCAAAAAAGCTTCCAGGCAAGCAAAAACCCCTTTAATCATTCCTATATCACCCATTCTTTCTCTCTCATGCTTGCATTAGATTTTGATACTGTTGTTTGAGAGCTCATATTCTGATGCATAGCCTGCTTTTGTAACCTGCTATTGTACTTTATGTGATATCATATATGCTTATCATAGGTTGGTTAGAGATCCATCAGTGACCCCTCACCCTTGTCCTCGTTGCCCCACTTTTGTACCGGTGACTTCATCAACGTGATCGATGTGCAAAGACCGACACATCACCGCACACCCCCTTAGTTGTACGACTATGCAAAAGCTACTATCGAGTGCTGAGGGTGATACCTTGTAATTCACTCCTTATGATATCTCTATAGTGTAGCTAATCGGTCGTGGATTACAGAGGGTGATTCCTCCTTCACCACTCCCGATAATGACTCTATCGTGCAACACCTCAAGTGTGAACCCTTCGAGGGTGATTCCTCCAAGGTCATCTTGACGGTTACATCGAGTGGGAATCCATCAAGGGTGATTCCTTGGTTTTCCCTCTTGATGTTATGGACACACGGTTACCTTGACTTTACCCGAGAACCTTGTTAAAGTCGGGTCGACACCATGGGGTACCCGCGAGAGTTACTGAAGTCGGGTTGACCATGAGGGTACCCACGAGATAATTACGAGGTACGGTCGGGCAGTCAAACCACCCTAGAGAGGGAGGGGCCTAACCCTTGCCGTAAGTCCTCGAGACGGGGTGATGGGATCACTGATCGTCTTAGCGCACTCCTAAGATACTAACGGGTTTGGATATGTGATCTGATTAGGCCTCTGGCCTTTTCGCACTAACCACCACACGGGAATAAGTATGGGCACTTGGCCTATCAAAGACTAGCATCTTGGATCGTCTTGCAGCATTAGAAGAGTGCAGATTAGCATATTATAAAGTAACAGGTATATTTTAGTAACGCCCAGGGATCCTTCATTGACTCCCCGTGAAAAAGCAATCCTGGAGCATCATATCCATTTAGTGTCTCAAGTATCCAGTTCTAGTTGTAATAGATCGGGATACAACTCCGAGCGTCCGTTACCGTGGACACGGCTATTCAAATAGATATACTTCCATGCAGGGGTGCACAAACTTACCCAACACGCTCGATTAAGTTTGGCCGAACACACTTTTCTGGGTCATGCCCGGCCTCGGCTGATCGACACATAGTAGTCCTACCTAGGCTCAACAGAGAGGCCAGCACGCCGGTCTACATCCTAAATGCAAAGGGGTCATGGGCCAATGGTCCTTTGTAATCCTTCATGTTGTGAACACGGCCTAGAGCAGACCCACCCCCTTATACAAGGGCAGGTGGTTACCGTCCAACCGGGCGCGCGCCGCTAAACCCCTGACGTCTGAGAGCTTTCGAAAGAATCATACAATGCCAAGTATAGTCCAAATATATAGCCCCATTCCTTTGACACCGATGCATATTTATCATAGATCCGATGTAAGTCTTGCGAGTACTTTGGACGAGTACTCATGGTTGCTTTGCTACCCTTTTTCCCCTTTACCCGATTGTTGCGATCAGATGACAAAGCCCAGGAGCCAGATGATCCCGCCGACGACTACTACTACCCCGACGGAGCCTACTACTACGTGGAACCAATGACCAGGAGTAGATAGGTGGCTCCCAGATATGAGGCCTGCGCCTTTTCAATCTAGATGTTAATGTTTTGCTAGCCTTCTTGAAGGAAATATGCCCTAGAGGCAATAATAAAGTTGTTATTTATATTTCCTTATATCATGATAAATGTTTATTATTCATGCTAGAATTGTATTAACCGGAAACTTGGTACATGTGTGAATACATAGACAAAACAAAGTGTCCCTAGTATGCCTCTACTTGACTAGCTCGTTAATCAAAGATGGTTAAGTTTCCTGACCATAGACATGTGTTGTCATTTGATGAACAAAATCACATAATTAGAAGAATGATGTGATGGACATGACCCATCCGTTAGCTTAGCATAATGATCGTTAAGTTTTATTGCTATTGCTTTCTTCATGACTTATACATGTTCCTTTGACTATGAGATTATGCAACTCCCGTATACCGGAGGAACACCTTGTGTGCTATGAAACGTCACAACGTAACTGGGTGATTATAAAGATGCTCTATAGGTGTCTCTGAAGGTGTTTGTTGGGTTTACATACATCGAGTTTAGGACTTGTCACTCCGAGTATCGGAGAGGTATCTCTGGGCCCTCTCGGTAATGCACATCACGATAAGCCTTGCAAGCAATGTGACTAGTGAGTTAGTTGCGGGATGATGCATTACGGAACGCGTAAAGAGACTTTCCAGTAACGAGATTGAACTAGGTATGAAGATACCGATGATCGAATCTCGGGCAAGTAACATACCGATGACAAAAGGAATGACGTATGTTGTCATTGCGGTTTGACCAATAAAGATCTTCGGAGAACATGTAGGAACCAATATGAGCATCCAGGTTTCGCTGTTGGTTATTGACCGGAGATGTGTCTCGGTCATGTCTACATAGTTCTCGAACCCGTAGGGTCCCCACACTTAACGTTCGATGACGATTTGTATCATGAGTTATGTGTTTTGGTGACCGAAGATTGTTCGGAGTCCCGAATGAGATCGGGGTCTCGAAATGGCCGAGATGTAAAGATTGATATATTGGACGATAGTATTCAGACACCGGAATTGTTTTGGAGTGTTTTGGGTTTTTTCGGAGTACCGGGAGGTTACCAGAACCCCCCAGGGAAGTAATGGGCCAACATGGGCCATAGGGGAGAAAGAGGGAAGCCCTCAAGGGGTGGCGCACCCGCCCCCCATGGGCGGTCCGAATTGGACAAGGGGAGGGGGCGCAGCCCCCCTTTCCTTCCCCCTCTCCCTCTCCTTTCCCCTTTCCCCCTCCGAAAGAAGGAAGGGGTGGCCAACTTGGACTAGGAGTCCTAGTCGGTTTCCCCCCATGGCACCCCCCCTTAGACCAGCCTCCTCCCCTCCTTTATATACGGGGGCAAGGGGCACCCCAAAGCACATCAATTGTTCTTTTAGCCGTGTGAGGTGCCCCCCTCCACAGTTTACTCCTCAGATCATATTGTCGTAGTGCTTAGGCGAAGCCCTGCGCAGATCACATCACCATCACCGTCACCACGCCGTCGTGCTGACAAAACTCTCCCTCGACACTTTGCTGAATCAAGAGTTCGAGGGACAACATCGAGCTGAACGTGTGCAGAACTTGGAGGTGTCGTACGTTCGGTGCTTGATCGGTTGGATCGCGAAGACGTTCGACTACATCAACCGTGTCAAGCTAATGCTTCCGCTTTTGGCCTACGGGGGTATGTGGACACACTCTCCCCCTCTCGTTGATATGCATCTCCTAGATAGATCTTGTGTATTCGTATGGAAACAACTCCTCCCATTAAACGAACATTGCTGAAAAGTCTGCAATAAATTCAGAAAAATACGAGCCCGATTGTCACGCCTAGAACTTCTCGGGTGGGCTGGTTCCACCACAAGAAATCTAATCATCTAAGCTACACTCAGTTTGCAATCCACCTCACATATTCAACAATTAGAGTAGAGTGAAATTTCCGTGGCTTAAAACTGACATCGAGCATCGTTCCCAATGCTCAGATTTGTAGCAGGGAAAATGTGACGACACACATGGGGTCGTCTCGCACTTTTTGTTTCCATTTTTCTTTTGCGCGTAGGAAAAAAGCCAGCATAGTTGTTGATTGTTTTTGAAATAGCCAACCGCTCGAACAGTAGCCAACATAATTGCATGGTTACGTATACACCAAACGTACCGAATGTCAGAGGACGCAGTTGTGCTGCTGTCTCGCACTCTTATAGAACGGCAAAATCACGCTCACCTTATCTTGGATTGCTTATGTACATATCCTGGGAAATACGTCAGCTTGTCAATCCAAAACTATTTTCTAGATGGAGCTATGCGCTTTCAGTTAGAGAGTAAGTCCATCGTGACACTGCAGCGAACTCGTTCACCTCTTTCCAGCACCCGGCTGCACACGCGGCCGCCCGGTTGGCGCTAATCACCTTCTATAACACTTTGCGATCACCTCTGCCGCATTGCTCGATCGGTTGAGCGAACACCATGGCTCGCGGCCTCCACCATCTCCTGCTCCTCGCAGCGCTCCTCCAGCAGCTTTCCGCCACCTCCGCCGGCGACGTCGCGACTGGCAGCGGCGGCGAGAAGGTGCACGTGGCGATCTACTACGAGTCGCTGTGCCCCTACTCGGCCCGCTTCGTGACGAACCACCTCTTGAAGGCCTACAGGGACGGCCTACTCGACGCCGCCGACCTCACCCTCGTCCCCTATGGCAACGCCAAGGTCGACGCGCACGGCGCCATCACATGTCAGGTGGGTTCCTCTCCTTCTCCCTTCGGCTATAGAGATGCTCATACTGACGTTGGGATACTGGCTTGTTGCATGCAGCATGGCCCCGATGAATGCCTTCTCAACACCGTTCAGGCTTGCGCCATCGACGCCTGGCCGGACGTGGTAATTCAGTTTATTCACACCTCATCTTAATCTCTGCTCGCTGCTTCACCACCCAACGTATTATTGCGACTGCACGACACAACAACGACAACGAGAACTTTTCTTGAAACTGATAGCTGTTGTTTTGTTTTGATGCAGAAAGTGCATCTCGGCTTCATTTACTGCGTGTCGGACCTGGTGATGAAGAACAGGCACCGGGAGTGGGAGTCGTGCTTCCAGAAACAGGGGCTTGACCCCAAGCCAGTCACGGAGTGCTACAAGGGCGAGCGTGGCCACAATGTCCGTCCCCTTTGCATCTGCTTTTGTTGCATCATTCACATGAAATTTATATGCAAAATTGCTAAACCAGTGTTGGCATTTCGCATGTTCCATCCAGCTTTCGCTCGAGTACGGGAGACAGACAGCTGAGCTCGTGCCTCCTCATCAGTTCGTTCCATGGGTTGTGGTCGACGGCAAGCCGCTCTACAACGTAAGGGGCCGTTTTCTTCGTTTTTGCCATGGGACAGTTTCATGTCTGAATTTCACCATCTATATATGCATAAGCTAGTCCTTGAAACAATCAATCATGTCTTGGTATCAGGATTACGGGAAATTCGAAGCTTACATCTGCAAGGCGTACAAGGGCTATCCCCTCCTGGAGGCGTGTCGAAGCCCGGGCATGGAGGCAGAGAACGATGTGTACGGCCGACTTTGATCGTGCCGATGGTGATGCCATCGACGAGATTAGGATGGTCCTGCCGGATGGTGATAATAATAACTGATAAATTATGTTTCCTTTTGGGGATCATACATCTGAACATAGGGCGGTTCAATCTCTCTGTCAAGGTTAATAAATCGAGTGGTTGTGCTCTTAGATTGATCTGGTTTGTTCGGTTGACATATGGAATCAATAGCCAGATCCTGGACCTGGAGTACATGCTCTGTTGAAAACAAACAGGCAGCATGAAAAGTTTCGGTCCTCTAGACTATGTTGAATGCCAAATTTATAGTTTGGAAATTTAAGCAAACGTTTGTAGATTTTTTGTAGGTTTATCATTTATTGGTGCCGTACTGACAACGAACAAAACAGAAAAAACGACTGGACTCATTTGCAAGCATCAGGCCTTATTTTTAAGGAAAGCATCAGGCCTTGTTTGAAACACGCAAACGACTGGACTCGATCTACAGAGTGTACAACATGACTGCACCCCCCTACACAACCAATTATATCACGTTCCAGATTTATTAGGAGAACTAAACGAAACAAGCGGTGCAAACAAGATCAACACAACTCACATACATTTTGATGAAATTATAATGCAACAGTACGTAGTACGCCGGGCGCGTGCATGAGCATGCCCGGCCGGAGTCAGTCAACTGGCGTGACAACGGCGGTGGCCTTGGACGCCTTGGGGCGCACCGGCTGGATCACCAGCCCCCCGCCGCCGGGCCTCTCCTGAACGGTATGTTGAAATACGAGCAATTTATCGAATGATTTTATTAACAGAAATACTAGATAAAGCATGACCAGTATAGTGGTGATAAAACAAGCCATGCGATTTGACAAAGAGAAGGTAAACATCATCTTCATATATGAACTGTAACTAAACATATCTAGAGCAGACAGTATAGTAAGTTGCATATATGAAATAGAGTCTAACATATGTAGGGCAAATATTAAAACAAGAAACTATAGCAGGACCTCTAATAGAAAGGAGAAGAACACGTACGGGACAGCAGCAGCAGAAGCGCTGGACTTGGGGTCGGTGTCCTCGCCTGCCATGTCATCGAGGAGGTCGTGGACGTCGGGGAAGAAGTCGTCGTCGGGGAAGTAGTTGTCGGCGACCGGATCGTCCGTGATGAAGCAGCCAGTAGTCGCGCTGAGCGCTCCCCAAAAACCTTATCACCCTTCTCCCGTACAGGACTCAAAAGGTGCGATTTCAGAGGCGTACTGTCCCGACGTGCGGTGCACGCCGCAAGCCAGGATGAGGAAGACAGCAGCAGCTCAGAGATGGAACCAGTGGCGAGGGAAGGAGTCGTTCTGGTGCGTCTCTCTGGGAGGAGCGATCTCCCTTTTATAGGCGCAAGAGAAGGAGACGAGAGGGCAGCGACGGGAGGTGAAACGAAGAGACGGAGATGAAGCGAACAACCACCAGCCGAAGGGCTGCACCGTTCGCATTCGAACTCCGCTTTCGCAAAAATCTTTTCAGCTTCCGTGTGACCTTTCGTATACCCGTAGTGCGTGGCAAAAATTTAGACATCGGCTCGGCTCATTCCCGCGGCGCGGCGCGACGCGGCGTGGCGAGGCGGGCGGCGGCGGAGGAGCGCGCGTGGATGTCCCTTCTGTTCTCATGCTCATACAAGTGGGAAAAGAACCTCTTTTATAAAGAGGTCCAACTCCCTCTAAACTAGCAATGTGGGACTAAACATTAGTTCCACCTCTTGCCTTGCACGAATGGGCTGCGTGGGCCTCTAGAATTTATTAAGAATTTCTGAAACTGCTCTATTGGGCTAGGCCCCAAATAGACAAAATTCCAGCAATCCCCCATCAGATCCCAGAGGCACACAAAAATTGTCTTTGGTTGCAAAACACTGTTTTATATACCGGTACTGCAGTGGAGACTGTTAAGTTGAACTTCCACCCAGAACTCTATGCTACACTAGTAAGCAACTTGAACAATGGACTGGGCCTTGAACTGCAAGTTTTCTGCGAATCTAGCTTCACATAAAGCCTTCACCGATACGTGGCTACCATGGGTCTTCCCCGCGGGTGGAGTTTATGCGTCATACTCCGTGACCTTTCATGAGTTTACTAGAGAGAACCCTACTCTCATAGATTGCGATGTTTGACAATCAGACTCATATAGGTGTGTTCTTCAAAAGATGTTCTGCAGGATAACATCTCTGCTTAAATGAGCCACTTAGAACACATTAAGATATACATCAACCAGCCATGCAGATTAGGAGAGTATTGCATCTTCATGGAGTGGTATTGTGAATAGTAAGGATACTCTCCTCTCGGTTGACCAACAGATTGTCTTCCATATCTAATTCACGGGATCTCCGATCACAAAGAGTAGGTTACCACTGTGAACAACTCATATTGTGGGTCTCATACACATCTCCATCGATGCATTATCTATCACATTACGTGATAGACCCTTAGTAAAAGGATCTGCCAAAATTTTAGATGTTTGGATATAATCCAATGCAATAACTCCAGAGTTTTTCATTTTCCTGACAGACTTTAACCTTCTCTGAACGTGTCTTGATGGCTTCATGTTATCCTTTGAGGTGCTCACTTTCATGATCACAGTTTGATTGTCGCAATTCATAAGGATACCCGGTACAGATTCTCAACAACCGGCAAGTCATTCGAGAGCCAATGAAGCCAATCTGCTTCGACCGTAGCTGTATCTAGCGCTGTGAGTTCTCCTTCCATTATTGACCTCGTTAAGATGGTCTGCTTGCAAGACTTTCAAGAAACAACGCCACCTCCATGAGTGAATACATATCCGCTCGTGGCCTTTATCTCATCAGCATCTGAGATCCAGTTTGAGTCACTATACCCTTCAAGCACCTTTGGGTGCCCGGTGTAGTGAATTCCATAATTTGCAGTGCCTTTCAAATAACGCAAAACTCTCTCTAGAGCTTTCCAATGCACATCTCCTGGTTTTGAAACAAACTGACTCAGTTTGCTAACAGCAAAAGAGATGCCAGGTCTTGTAGCACTGGCTAAGTACATAAGCGAGCCAATAATCTGAGAATACTTCAATTGGTCTCTAGCAATTCTTTGATTCTTTCGAAGCAACACACTAGCATCATATGGTGTTGGAGAGGGCTTGCAGTCACTGTAGCCAAAGCGACTCAAGATCTTTTCCACATAGTGAGATTGAAGCAATGTAATCCCACCATCATCGTCTCTCAACAACTTAATGTTTAGAATGACATCAGCCACTCCTAAATCCTTCATCTCAAAACAGCGAGATAGGAAATTCTTGACCTCCTTAATAACATTCAGATTTGTTCCAAAAATTAGTATGTCATCAACATACAAGCAAAGGATAACTCCCTCGCCCCACCATGGCGATAGTACACACATTTGTCAGCTTCGTTCACAACAAGGCCTGCAGCTATTAAAATTCTTTCAAACTTCTCATGCCACTGTTTGGGTGCTTGCTTGAGTCCATACAAAGACTTCAGCAACTTGCACACTTTTCCTTTCTGACCATCTAGTACAAATCCATCTGGTTGTTCCATATAAATTTTCTCGTCCAACTCTCCATTTAGGAAAGCAGTCTTAACATCCATTTGATGAACGAGAAGACCATGTGAGGCAGCTAGTGAAAGTAGAACTTGAATAGTGGTCAGTCGAGCCACAAGTGAGTAAGTATCAAAGAAGTCTTCACCTTCCTTTTAGGTATAACCCTTAGCCACGAGCCGAGCCTTATACTTTTCAATAGTACCATCAGGCCCAAACTTCTTCTTGAATACCCATTTGCATCCTATAGGTTTGCACCCATAAGGACGATCAGTTATCTCCCAAGTTTCATTCGCCAAGATGGAATCCATCGCGCTATGAACCGCTTCCTTCCAGTAGTCAGCATCTTCAGATGCATAGGCCTCTGAAATAGAACTAGGAGTGTCATCTATGAGATACACAAGAAAATCATCACCAAAGGACTTTGCGGTCCTCTGTCTCTTGCTCCTAGTAGGAACTTCATTGTTCTCCTTCACAGGACTTTCAAAGTGTTCCATCGAAATGGCTGGTTCGGTAATTGTAACTGGTTCCTGATTCGATGAACTAGGCATTTCCTGATTAGATGAGGTAGCCATATCCTTCATGGGAAAGATATCTTCAGAGAAAGTCGCATCATTTGACTCCATGATCGTACCGACATGCATGTCAGGTACCTCAGATTTTACAACCAAGAATCTATAGGCAATGCTATGAAAAGCATATCCCAGGAAAATACAATCCACAGTCTTTGGTCCAAGCTTCCGCTTCTTTGGAATTGGAACATTGACTTTCACCAAACAACCCCATGTTCGTAGATAAGAGAGTTTTAACCTTTTCTTCTCCCATTCCTTGAATGGAGTTATTTCTTTGTTCTTTGTGGGAACTCGGTTTAGGACATGACATGTCGTCAATATCGCCTCCCCCCACCATGCCTTGGAGAGACCCGATGTGTCTAACATGGCATTAACCAAATCAGTTAGAGTATGGTTCTTTCTTTCGGCCACCCCATTTGACTGAGATAAATAGGAAGGCGTCCTCTCATGGATTATACCATGTTCCGCACAAAAAGCATCAAATTCATTGAAAAAATACTCTCCACCATGGTCGGACCTAAGCCTCTTGATTTTTCGATCAAGTTGGTTTTCCACTTCAGCTTTATAGATCTTGAAAAAGTTCAAAGCCTCATCCTTAGATTTCAGAAGATACACACGACAGTATCTAGTGGAGTCGTCAATTAACGTCATGAAATATTTCTTTCCACCTTTTGTCAAAATGCCATTCATTTTACAAAGATCTGAATGTATGAGCTCTAGTGGTGCAAGATTTCTCGTTTCCGCAGTCATGTGAGACTTACGAGGTTGCTTAGCTTGCACACACACTTGACACTTAGATCCCTTGACAGTGGTGAAACTAGGGATTAAGTTCAACTTTGCTAGTCACGACATGCAACCAAAGTTAACATGACAAAGACATGA